AAAAAAAAAAAAAAAAAAAACTCAAATATTTTCAAAGTTTATATATAAAAAATTTCAAACAAACAGAACTATTTGAAGAAAATTATAATATCGACATCAATATATTTGGGCTTTAAGCTATATTATCATTTCAAAAGTCCAGCCATGATCTAATTATTAAGAGGGTTAACAGTGGTTTTTGCCTACTTTATCAGTGGGTTAACCAGTTGCAGCTATAATACATACACAATATACACAAAAGGCGGCCGTCTTTCCCTGCGTCTTTACCCTCTCTCACCCGAAACCATTCAGCGGCCCTACGCCGCTGCGACCGCCGGAGGTTTTTGGATTACATCCGTTTCGCGAAACTTTGTTCTGCGCAACATGATTCTGCCGGCAGTTGTTAGTCATGGGTTTATCTCTCGATTCTGAGATCCTGGTCGGAGAGCGAGAGCGAGAGAGAGATCTTGCGAGGGATAAAAGAGTAGAAGAAAATGGCAGATAGTTCGGGCTTGAGCTCGGGCTACAAAGAGTATGTCGCGGGTATGCTGGCGGGTGTTGCCACAGTCGTCGTGGGTCATCCATTTGACACAATCAAGGTCTCTCTTTCTCGCTCTTACTTCACAAACGACATTCCCTCTTAGATGCACACAAGCACTTTGTTTATAGTGTATCATTTTCTCTTGCTTGTTGCCTGGTATGTACGATTCCTGTGAGAAACTAGTCATCACCTTGATTGTCTTGTCTTGAACTGTAGTAATTGGATCTCGATGGATCACTTCTTAGCTGTCTCTATTATGTCTCAGCCTTTATATATACTATTATATTGTTTATCTTGGAGCTGGAGTTACTGGATGTAACTGTTTAATGACTTAGATTTCAAATCACTTTCTAAGTGTTTTTTTTTTTTTTTTTGGCGCTTAGCATGTGATAGATGTACCCTCCACGGTTGTGAGTTTCATCTGCATGTGTTATTGCTGGCTAAAATTTTGTCCCCTTAATTGGATGGGGAAGTTTTTTTCTTTAGTTGCATTATTGACTTGGTGCCTGATCATGAAGAAATATTTGAAGGTAGTGCCCGTGTTAAGTATGTCAAGACCATTTTTTTTTTATACCCGATGATTTGTGTTATCAGGTGAAGCTTCAAAAACACAACGCAGGAGCTAATGGGATGAAGTACAAGAGTGGTTTTCACTGTACTGCGGCAATATTGAAGACTGATGGAGTATATCTCTAAACTCTGTTAGGGTTCTGTTTCAGTAGTGCTATGTTATTAGACTATTTGCCACCTCAAATTTCTTTCTAATTTGATTATCTCTGATGTTGGGTGTGTTCCAGTTGTATCTATTGCAATGCAGTATAGCACATTAACATCATAGAAGTATTTGTATTTTTTCTATTTGCGTATGTTGTGTGCCTGAGTAAATTCTTACTTGATTTTCAAGTATTTGTCTGTCATAAATTATCAGGTTTTACTTATTAGTTTGTCATGGACCTCGTGGTAAATTGTTGGTGTTATCTGTTTAACGCCAGCAATCTACTGTAAGGCTTGCTTCATTTGTCTCCACGACACCAACTTCCAGTTACTTTGACAGGTGAAGGGCCTTTATCGCGGTGCAACACCTTCTTTTGTTGGAATGGCCTGTGAAAGCTCACTTGCTTTCGGAATTTATTCCCAGACAAAACAGTTTCTGCAGGTATGTTACACAGTTACAGAGTTGAATTTATGGATATAGATCCTAGTTCCTTCATTACCTAAAGTGCTTTGGCCTAGATGACTGTATGATAGCTGAATTTTTTTAACTCTATAGATGCTATTTTCAATGGCCTTAACAGGGAGAAATAAAAAATGGGAAGCCACAGCTTCGTGCGATAGTCCCTTCAGGAGCTTTTGCTGGAGCTCTTATCAGCTTTATATTATGCCCATCAGAGCTGGTAAAGGTAAACTAACCAGAAGCTTGACCTCACTCCGTGTTGTTTTCATCATTTGTCTGATTATGGAGTTTTCAGTGTAGAATGCAAGTTCAAGGCTCCTTCATTCATAGTTCAAGCACATACAACAGTCCCATTGATTGTGCCCTTAAAACTCTAAAAAGTGAAGGGGTGAGTTTAATTTAATGCTCAAGTAAAATTGAAAGATGAAGAACTTTCTGGACTTTTAGCTGACAGATTGGCTTTTCAGCTGACAGGATTATTCCGAGGAGGCAGTGCTACTTTTTTAAGAGAATCTCTTGGAAATGCAGTCTTCTTTAGCACTTACGAGCACATGCGTTATTACATGCGTTTACCACTGAGAGATACTTCCTCTGATTTAACCCATTTTATTGATGTAGGAATCGGGATTGTTACTGGTGGCTTAAGTGGTATAGCAGTAAGTTTTTCTTGTAGTTACATTTATTAAACACAATGGATGCCCTTTCAATTACTGAATTTGTCAGCTTCTCTTATATATTTACCCTTTATTTATTTATATTTTATACGTTCTACCTTTGATATTCAAACTCAACGTTTGTTCATGTCAGTGTTGGTCCGTTGTTCTACCCTTGGATGTGGCAAAGACTATAATACAGACTTCGTCGGACAAGAAACAGACCAGGAATCCATTTCGGATTCTTGAATCGGTATACTATGAGTACCTTAAATGCTATTATGGTATGCATCAAAAATAGCAAATCCCTGATTCCTTTTTCTATTGATAGATCTACGGGAGGTCCGGAATTAGGGGATGCTATACAGGTCTTGGTCCTACGATAGTTAGAGCATTTCCTGCTAATGCCGCTGCTATTGTCACATGGGAACTAGCCATGAAGTTGCTGGGCATCAAGCGCGAATAGGACTGGTGCACCATAGGAGGACCTAGTGCATTTTATCCTTGCGATCGACCTATATGATGTTTTCTAGTTGCCTGCATTCAGTGTGATTCTTTGAAGGTGTGAGGCTCCTGATATGATACTATACCATCAATTGATATGAGGAAGTGGATATAAGTTTATTGTGTTATGGTCAGTTTATTGGTAACTGAAGTTGATGTGACATCTTTTTCTTTTGTTCTTCTCTTCTTAGGCCCTTCAGCGGGTAAGTTGTTAGTGATTGATCTCAACAGTTTTAATATCCTGCCTTAACTATGAATGGCAGTTCAATTGTCTGACATAGCATCTTCTATTGTGATGGAATAGTGGAAAGGAACTTGTGTACTCTTTCAATTCAGGACCATTCTAATTTAAATAATTTCATTGAATATTTCAGTAACCGATAAAAAAAAATTATTGAGTGGTGTGATCTTATATATTTTCATTTCCTGAATGTTATAATTTCATTGTCTATTGCTGGGCTATTCTAAAGCCAGGATTTTGTTTCGACTGAAGGGTACTGGAGTTTCTAGTGATCAGGCTAAATCTGATGGGGGTTTAATTTGTTCCTCTTGGAAGTTTAGTAATACTATTTTGCTTCCTGCGACGTGAATGGAGGAGTGCTTCATGAAATTGATACAGATGTAATTGCAGCACTTGGCAGTGATTGCTACCCTCTATGCTACAGTCTATGTAATTGATACCTTTGAGCAGATAAATCACCCGAGGATCTGGTTACATCTCCTCTTAATTATTGATAATCTGGATTTCTGCTTATTTGCTGCAGTTAATACTTAATCTTAGTGTTGTTTTATGATACGATCTGGATTGTATGAAACTTGGAGAACGATTATTCCTACAAAAATAAATCTAGCCAGAGGAAGCATGGAAGAGTATCTCCGTAGAGATGTTAAAGAATCAAATCTCAAACTAGAAATGAAGAAGTTGTCGATGTCAATTATTTTTCAGGCTATTAACTGAATAGTTTGACTTGCACAGACCATGCTAGAATCTGCAAAGAAATGCATCCATTGACAGAAGATAGAGAGCAGTCCCAAAGGTCAGTTTTCTTATGGTTACTTCTTCAAGACTGAAAATAAGGCCATACTCATTGCTTTAGATGGAATTAATCTCTGCTCACTGAGAATCATATAGGCTCTTTCGACGTCTCTCATTGTGTCCTGCCAAACGCCTGCGACAACTTCTTTTAGCTTCATCAAACTCCGATAGCTCGTGAAACCTGTTTGGTATGACAGCTGGAGATTAAATGTGGTATTACCCGAGCCTGAACTTTAGACTGGTGAATTTTTGGTACTTATTATAATGTTATACGAGCTGCCAGGAAACTATGGGATTAATTAATTATTGCACGAGTGAGTTTTTTAGCCTCTTACATACTGAAGCATGCTAAATTTGCATTCCCAATACTTCGTGACTGTTTTATTGCTCTCTCATAGCATTCCCAAATTTTGTTTTCGGTCATATTTCTGCTTTGTCCATAGATAGACTGATAATTTTGACAATACAAGATCAATCGAGAAGAACAGTTCTTATTTGCCAAAAAAAAAAAAAAAAAAAAAAAAAAAAAAAGATAAGAACAGTTCTTATCGGCATAATACTAATGAATAAATTTGTGCTCTCTCTCCAGATGCACTAGGTAATAAATCTTTGTAAGGGTTTATCAGAATATTCTAGCCTTTGCAAATTCCATGACGTGTTTTATAGTTAATTTTGTCAAATTGCATGCTCCTCATCTTCCTAATGCTATAGTGTTCTGAGTTGCAATTAATAGGCCATGCATTTCATGATGTGCAAGTAGAAAAAAATATCGGAATTAATTTTTAGACTTTTGGGGATCAAACTCGAACCTGCTGCACTGCTGACAGAACCTCTGCCCGGACCCCGCAAGAAAAACAACAGCTGCCTTGGCGTGGAACTCACAGACTCTATGCCGCCTGTGATACGGCTTGGCATCAGTCAAATCAGCCGTGCAGTCTTCCACCTGGCAAGAACGCTGTGTGGATCCACCTGCACTCGACAGCCTTCTCTTTGAGGGAGTTGACGATCTCATCCTCTTGCTATCGTCTCCCGACTCTCCATCCTCGTCGTCTTCTCCGCTCGCCTCAGGTACCTCTGCAACCCTTTTTCCTTCGTATTTGCTGGGCTCCATCTTTTTTCTTGGGCAGTGAGGAAAGATTAGGTGAAGTGAAAGCAGATGGAGAAAGTGAAGCAAATGGAACATGACCGGTTAAATTGAGGTGGGTGTGTATTGGTCCAGGACCACAAAGGTACTGCTTTCGCTTTTTCTTGGACTACTGTTGTACTGTTTTTTTTTTCTTTTTTTTTT